CAAAACATTTAAACTAAATATTTAACTCTTGAAGATAAATATTTTTGAATAAAAACATCGAATTTTTGTTGTTTGCATTGAATGGGAAACTCATTGAATAATGATAAAATTTTTTTACATATTTTAAAATTAATTTTTGTCTGACTATATTTCAAACGTATTAAAACAATTGATAATCTAAAAGTTAAAAAATTTAAAATATGACTCAATCTTTAAATCTATCTTTACTTTGAATTCGAAAGGCATTGAGAAACAAAACTAATTCCATCTCTAATATATTTATTCCAGTTGTCTCCAATTCTGTCTCTAAATTAATAAAAATAAAATTATGAAATTTTAAGGAAATATAGAGAGGGAATTAGATATGGTTAAATTTTTGTCTTCAAATTCATAAAAAAGAAAGGTCTCAAATTCAGTATCTAAATTTCAAAAAAATGTAAAATTAATATTAGAGATAGATTTGGAGATGGCTATTTTAGAGAAGAAATTTATTCATATCTAAACTTAAAATTAATTCTAAACTTGAAATTTATTCATATCTAAATTAATAATTAAAGATGAAGTCCAGACAGATTTTGTGATGTTTTTTTTAAGACACAAATAAGTCGTCTCTACATCTATCTTTATATTTTAAAATATTTTTTAAAATTAAATATCTTTAAAAATATAATTATTCTCTATTTTTGCCTTTATTAGACATAATAATTAGGCTGTCTTTAATTTCCATCTCTATTTTAATAATTTTTTGTAGTGTTTATATCACCATTTCTTTTTAATATTGCTCTAGCCAAACCAATCTATTTACTTAAAATATGATTATCTCTTAGGCCTTGCTCAAGCACCTTAGGTGCATTACTTCCAATCATTCAATTAAAATTTTCTAACCTTCATTTGCTGTGTCATTGCTTGGACCAAAGTTAGTCTGCCAGCAAGATATAAGATCTTAATGCAACATGAGGTTCTACCAAGAAGCATCTATAATCAAATTGAACGTTTACAAGGAGAATTCATATGGGGAGATCGTGAAGGGCAAAAGGGAGATGCATCCTATGGGGTGGAAAAAATTATGTCTACCAAAGATACATGGAGGTTTTGGACTTAGGAGCTTGTCAAGGATGAATGAAGCACTCATTGGTAAAATTGGGTGGGAGGCAATTTCTATACCTGAAACGTTAATGTCGAAAGTTCTTCTTGCGAAGTACAAAAGGAAAGACACACTCACAAATTCATGCACGGTCAAGGCAATTCAGTTGTATGGAAAAAGCTTGGTGAATTGTGGCAAAAATTGATGCAGAACGTCAAATGGGATGTGAATAATGGACAGAAAGTGAATTTTTGGAATGATATATGGCTAGACAATGAAGGGCCTCTAATTAACAGAGACTGATATAAACCAAGTTGCTGAAGTTTATCAGCTCGTAGATTCAAACGGAGATTGGAAGGTTGAAGAACTATATGAATGGCTACCCAAGGAAGTGGTTGACAAGATCCACACTGTGTTGGCACCCAATCATGAGGAAGGAGAAGATAGGGTCAAATGGTCGAGTAAGGCAAGGAAAAGTATTTTGTAACTGAGATGTATGAAAAACAAAGTGATACGCAAGCACTTGAGGAGGATGAAGTTTGGAAGACGATATGGGATTGGCAAGGTCCAAGAAGAATACAGGTATTTTTGTGGTTACATACAAATAATAGCTTACTAACTTCTGTGCGCAGAACAAGGATCCTAGGGACATCTCCAGTTTGCATGAGATGGGGGGAGATAGAGGAAGATGCACTTCATGCTATCCGTGATTGTGAGCAACCAACACAATTATAGAGATCACTCAGATGTGAATCCAAGGTAAAGCACTTCTTCTCACTTTCTTTACACGACTGGGTGTTGAATAATTTACAGAAAAATCAACGTAAAGAGGGAGGATGGGAAATGATATTTGCAATCGTGACCTAGTGCCTATGGAAATGGAGGAACATGCAACTGTTCGAGGATAACTTCCAATGGCCAACTGATCTTGAGGCTATAATCAGAAATTATGCCAGAGAAGTGAAAGAGATACAGAACACAAATGGGAAAGGAATCAGAAGCGTTAGGGCGAGCATTAAGTGGGAAAAACCACAGGAAGGGTGGATAAAGCTAAATATAAATGGTGCGGTTCATGGGCGAGGAGGAGAAGCCAGTTGTGGGGGTTTATTTAGAAATAAAAATGGTGATTGTGTGGGAGGATTTGCAAGGAAGGTGGGACGATGTTCAGTAGAAATGGCTGAAATGTGGGGTGTAATTACGGGAGTCACATTGCTAAATCAATTAGAGGGACATGCTGTTATTATTGAAAGTGATTCTTGGTCTGTGGTACAAAGGCTGGAAAGATGCCTCTTACATGATGTAGATATGCCAGGCGCATTAGAAAGATAATGGGACACATATGGAAAGTAAAAGTAAATCACACGTTTCGAGAAGGGATGCCTGTGCTGACTGGCTAGCAAAGTGGGAACAACGCCAAGATTATTACATGCATCCATTAAAGGAACCCCCTAATGGGCTAGATATTTTGTTAGATAGGGATAAAATGGGATACTTGTATCAGCGAATATTGCTAGTGTAATTGTTGGGCCTTGCCCCGTTCTTTTACCAAAAAAATTAAAAAAAAATTTCTAACATTCAATCTCTTACCCAACAATTTATCAATAACTGTATTATTTTCAAAAATTCAACTTATATATTAACTTCATAATCAAATTCTTTTACAAGGTTAAAAATTCATCTCTTACAACTTCAGTCAAAATTTCCTTCCTCCAAATCCCTTATTAAATATAAAAGGACGTCCCTTCTTGCATCAGCATGTCTCTATTCATTTCAGTCCTCACCTAACGCTCCACTTTCTCCTCTATAGCTCCGAACGAACGTTTATAGCATTCTTGGCTTCCTTTGCTATTAGACCTTATGACTCTCTTGCTTTGCTTCGTCTTTTTTTTTGTCTAGATCTAATCTCCTTAGACCCATCTCCTCTGTATTCTCCTCCGCCCCTTTTCTTCATCATTCTATCTCCTTGGCCGATGACTCCTCTACTCTCACCATTGAGACCTCTCTTCCATTCAGGGTAGTTTTGTAGAGCAATCCAATATTAGAAGTTGGTGAGGTGGGGATTGACGTACTAGGCAGTTTTGTAGAGCAATCCAATATTATAATTATCAATAATACTTAATACTTAATACTTAATACTTCATTTTGTATGTATTGTTGTTTTAAATTTTAATTTAAAGTTTACTTTTTTTAAAAGATGATCAAAATAGACTATTTATTAAATTTTAATTATATATAGACTATAATTTATCATTTTTTCATGCTCTTTTTTAAAATTTTGATTTTTAAACAATTAATTTATTTTAGATATTTTAAATCTACCTTTTCTAAAAAAAATATAATTTAAAGTTTATGATTTTTTTAAAAATATTAAATTAGTCACAAAAATATAGACAATAAAATTTTTGTTTAATTTTCTCATTATATATCTTAATTGACTTTTAAATTAAATTATCTAAATAATTTTTAATCTGTTCGATTGACTTTTAAAAAAAAGTATTCAAATATAAACTATGTTAAAGTCACAGACTTTTGTTTTGACCTTAATTTGTTAACTTTAGTTGAATCCTAACTTCAGTTATAAATTTTTTAATCCAAACACATACTAAATCTCCTTTTACCAGTACAAGCCAAATCCCCATCAAGATTCAAGTGAGCTTAAAGAAAAATTCAAACCCACCATCTACATCTTGTTCTCATAGACTAGAAAAATTCAGATTAATTCAAAGGCCTCCCTTTTATCAAAGACGCACAGCACCAAATTAAATAAAAAAAAAAAAAAACTGCAGCAACATCCACTCAACCACACGCAGGAAACTAATAAGAAGAAGACTCGAATGCTCCTCACCTTGAATCAGAAACGCCAGAAGCAGGGAGAAGAGAATACAGGTCGTGCGAACATGGGGGAGGGGGAGGAAGGAGGTCCGTCACTGCTACGCGGCGGCAAAAACAGAGGAGGAAGGAGCTGGGTGTTCGACGAGACTCCTACAGCAGTGAACCACAGCGACGCAATGCAGGGGAGGAGGAGATTCCGGCGCACACTCATAGCTGCTTGAACCGAGGAGAAGGGAAGGAAGATCAGAGTAGATGCGAGGCTCTCTCTCACCCTCGGTCTCCAGGTGCGTCACCGGAAAAATGGAAGAGGAGAGGAAGAGGAACGCTTCCGGGTCGTCGGCGTCAGATGCGGCAGTGGAGGAAGGCGGAGTGGGGACGGAGAGTTTGAACGTTCTCTCTTTCACCAGGTTCTGGAACAATCGAATGTGGAGAAGGAGAAGAGTGAAGCCGTGCGTGCGTGAGTTTTGGTTTTCAGTTTTCTGATTCTTTTCTTCTTCTTCTTCTTTTTTCAGGATAAAATGGTAATTTTATGAAAGCTGAAGCAAAATGAAAATTTAATTCTTTGCACATACAAAGATTTGAAGTCAAAATCTGAAAGCAATCAGAAATAGAAACTTCCTCCAAGTCACCAATAAACCTTGTCACATCTACTCCCAAATTTATAGTTAAAAAAAAAAACAATCAAAATATGTTATTATTAATTTAAATATTATTTTTGCTTTCAGGGTCATTACATTTTAATAATTGAATACAGTCCAAATCCAAATTGATTGAGCAGGGCTAGCTAAATTAATGAGTCATGAGTTTGTGAAAAAGAAGCAATAACTGAGAGGTAGGAAATATTCATTCATCGTATAATGCACATCACTTTCCCTTCTTGGTAAACAAAATAAAATGAAAGGAAAAAACCATTGTCAGTTACGGTTTGTTTGAACCAAAACTTAATTAACATCGCAGCATGATGCATATGAAGATGAAAAATATCAAGCAATTTTTTAACTCTAAAGGTGACATTGTTCCAGTAACAATGAAAATATAATAAATAACATATATTGAAAATATTAAATATGCTTAGCCATAAAACTAAAACCAATAACATTTAAATTAAAAATAATAATTAAAAACAGTTCATACATAATCATAAATAGCAAGTTAATATTGTCTTGTACAATATTCATCCAAGCCAAAGCAAAAAAAAAAAAAAAGGGAATATTCATACATCACGATCCTAACACAGAAAAGCAAATCATCCACTGCAAACTTTCAATCACACCATGTAATGAATACAATTCAAACAAATTAAAATGTTCAAATATCGAGTCTTCAACAAACCAAATTAGGAAAACCATAACTAGTAAAATCTGACTGGTCACTCCAATAATTTCCAATAAAATCAAAGTTGGGGCTCTAGAATATTCATATCTTCATGATCACCTGCCATATATTTGACACAGAAGTTAATATAAAAGGGAAAATATTAATCAAGGATTATTGGAAGAAATTTATATTAGTCAAGAATTACTTGTTGTCAAAACTTGAATAAATACCTGTTGATTTGGATTAGTCTTTTATTAACAAGTATTCATTCAGGTTTTAACAACTTATTTTAAATTAACAACAGTCCATTCGGGTTTTTTTCATTCAAATTTTGACAACAATTAATTCTTGAATGATATAAATTTCTTCCAGTGGTCCATCATCGCAATTTTCCCTAATATAAATGTTTATCTATAAAATTAATAATATAATATTAGAATTATAAATGAAAATATAAATCTTTGTTGTCCTTTTCACTTAGGAACTGATGATAGAAAAGTTCTTCATAATTCCAAGTTAAATGAATTAGTGAAATCAAATATATATATATATATATTTCATCCTGTAATAACACCCTCTTCTAGGCTATCTAATAATTATAAGAACATTTATTATTTAAAGCTAACACTGGAATTTTGTGATTGAAACCCAGTTCAAAGAACTGAATCTGATTCCAATTTCCTAAATAGATGTTCAATATTCAAGGTCATATAACCGAATAAAAAAAAAAAAAAAAAACACACACACACACACACACAGAGCAAACAACAGATCCATGCCAGTCATATAGATCTCTCATATGTCACTAATTCTAGTATCTATTAATTAAGAAAGACAGAGCCATATCAGAAGATCAAGTATAGATATGATTGCGCCAACATTTTGAAATTTATAACAATTTACTACTTTTTATATCCGGCCGCAAGACTAAATTGTGCTATATGCAAACTGATAGCTAGGCTGTGTTTCTATGATTTCATGCTCTCTCTCTCTCTCTCTCTCTCTCTCAATGCTTTGAGGCATAAAAATATATTTTGTAATTAATCAAGTTATATTATCGATTAAAAAAATTCAATTCAAATATTAATATATAAGTCTAAAATACCAATTATAGCATGCCGACAATGTTTTGTATATATAGTCATTTGTTAAGAAATATTAAAAATTAAGAAAATAACTAAATCACTATATATATATATATATATGAAAATTATGAAAGCAAAGAAACAAATGAGGCGAAAGGGGAAACCCAAACAAAACTGAAGAATAGTGTACCTGCAGGCTAATGAAAATTACGTAGTCACAAACACAAGCATAGTTATGAAAACCAAGTTCATCCCAATTGTCTACCATGGAGAAGTCAATCTGCAACGACATATGTAGGTAATTAATTATAAGTAATAATTAGATATAAGTAATTAAAAAGATTAATATTTAATAATACTAGTACTAGAGTGCCTTTACCCTCTTGAGGAAGTAATCCTAAATTTTGACTGGAAAGTGGCTTTGATAGCTGGGTCATCCCATTCCAAGTTGTCCCACCACACTTGTTCTCCACCAATAAGCCTCAACTTAGCCTTGGCAGAATTGGAATCAAATGGTAACCTCTTTAGATTTGGACAGTCATACACTTCAATAGATCTTAGGGAAGAGAAAGATAGGACTCTCTCATGAATGCTCCTAAGATTTGGCAAATCCCACAAAGTCAGCTGTACAAGAGAAGGGAATATAGAATCCACATTCTCTTTGTCTTTCTCTAATCCTTCTCCCTTTATCACTTCTTCCATTGAGTCGCAATTGACAACATGAAGTTCATCAAGGAGTGGAGCATGCTTCAACCATGTCAAATGATGTATTGAATCACAACGAACAATAGTCAACCTTCGAAGCATGGATAGACAACATGTGTCAATAACAGAAGAATCTATCACAATAAAACACTGGGAGAAGCAAAGATATTGCAAGTGCTTTATTTTTGACATGGTTGCCAATAATAATGGCATGTCAAGGGTGAACATGTTGGTAAGGTCAATGCCGCATATACAACTTTGCAACTTGGCTGACTCATGTAATTTTTCGAGGCCATTCTTAGTTAATATTTGTATCCATAGTTCCTCCAAGCTTGATGAACACTCTAGCTCCTCTAGAAATTCTTCCTCATCTTTGCCATTTCGAAAAAATTCTCTGCTGTGAAGTTTAAGGACTTTTAGCTGTGGAAGATTTGAAATTACTCCCAACTCAGTAATACCAGTACTTATTTTCAAAATTAAAACCTTCAGATTTTTCAAATTGTTCGACTTACATGAAAATTCAGGTGGGTTGCATAAATATACTTCTTGCAATGACAGATATTCCAAGGAAAAAATTAAACCACCTAAATCTGGGAGTGTAATAGTTGACAGCTGATGTAGCTCCAAGACTTTTAATCGGCTCAAGAATTGGATATTTTGTAACCCAGTTACTTCGCTAGTCCTAATATCCAATAATAATGTAGTAAGATTCGGCAACTCTAAGATTGGTATGCCTGATCCATCATCTTTCATGATTGAAATCCTTTGAACCATTTTCAAATTTTCAATCTTAGCTTGAGACATTGACCATGCATCTTCTTGTACTATAAACCTTTTGTTTTTATCTTGTTCATTTGCTATCCATAGTGCCATGTCACGGATGACATCATGCATCTTAATTGCACGCCTCAAAAAGACATCATCTTCTACATTCTCCAACAAGCATGAAAGCTTCAACTTTTCAATTATAGATCCACCATGGCTACGCATATCACGTACAGTTCTCATCCTATCATTACAAAGTAATCCCTCCCCTATCCATTTCTCAATGACATCATTCACTTCAATCTCATGATCCTCTGGGTATAATGCACAATATAAGAAACAATTTTGGTGTGTTTCATCTGGTAATTTATCATAGCTAAACTTGAGGATAGAGAAGACCTCTATCTCCAAACCTGATGCTGTAAATGAAGAACTCATTAAATTATTCTTTCAGTGTTCCCATGCTTCAATGCTCTTCACACCAGCCATGGCGCTTCCCACCACAGTTAGTGCAAGTGGTAGCCCTTTGCATTCTCTAGCCATCTCCATTGCTACCTTTGGAATAATAGGGTCAAACTTTAGAGTTTCCTCCCCAACTTTCATATAAAATAACTCTAGTGCTTCTTTTTCTGTGAGAATTTCTACTTTGAATTTTCTTTGTGCTTTCATTTTCGCACACACATCCTCATATCGTGTTGTGAATAACACTTTGGATTGAAAATTAGTTTCCTTTGGATGTGGAACTCCCACCCTTTCCAAGGCCAATCTCTCCCATATATCATCCAATAACAAAACAAATTTCTTCTCTTTTAGGATTTTGCAAATCCTTGCGGCTTTTTCATCTTGGTTACTAAAACGTTGCCAAGTTCTATCTTCAATCCCTACCAATTTTCTGATGTTGTCCATAATGCTGTCCAAGTTAGGCCTTTTAGATACTACTACCCACATAACATAAAAATCTGATCTCTTTCCAAGTTCATTATTAATTTTCTTTAACAAGGTAGTCTTACCCACCCCGCCCATCCCATACAAGCCAATTACCCCAACATTTTTGTCTTCAATACTATTCCATACCTTATCAAACATGAAATCTAAGCCCACTGTCTCTTCCGAAGAAAACTCAATTGACTTCATTGGACACTTGTGGACAATTTTAAAATCCTTGCCAAACAACCTTTCCCCCTGGTCTTCTAGTTCATGTGCATTTTGCAAAATCTTTGCAACATTCTTTCCTAACTTGTAGCTTGACATGCAATTCTTTGGACATTTACTTAGGCATTTGTTTTGAATTTGTTGAGCTCCACGAGCTCGAATATCTTTTATTTCCTGTAAATATAATGTTGTTGATTAGCTTTACAATGTCATTATTCTATACTTTCAAACCATTTTGAATTTGAAGGTGACAATAAGATCTTAAACGTGCTGACGTACTGATAGACAAGAATTAGCATGGTTGATTTGTTAATATCGATTAAAGTCATGGGTGAAACAAGATAAACTATAGGTTGAATTATATTTTTGAAAAAGCTTGGAAAAGTTAGGCACACAAAATTCAATTAATTGGATGGGTGTCCCTATCTTTTCTTAGTTGTTATTGATGCTTATTACAATTTCAACGATTTATTTTTCTCAACAAGTGGCGTGAGCCTAGAGGTGTATTGAAAATATCCAATTATACATCTCTCTAAAGTTTCATCACAAATATTAATTGAAATTTTAAAATTATTAATTATCTGATTTTATCATCTTAGTCAATATCCATGCAAATATGGTAATCATAGTGGGTTCTATACATTTACGCTGTGATTATTACAGCTTCTTATAATTTAGATTCATTTATAGATTTGGAAAAATGTAATATGATTTTAAATAACAATAATATATTAAAATAAGTTTTTTTTATTAACCATTGACTTTATATCATATCTCAAATATCGTTAAGAACTTATAGCATTTATCTCAAACTCATTAAAACTCTTTATATCGCATTAAATATCGTTAAGAACTCATTAAAACTCATTGAAATTATACACATATTTTATTCAGAGAAAGTTAGATAAATAAGGTCTTAGGAGCTCTACAGGGTGCATTCACCCTCAAGGAGGGTTTACAAAAGTTCGAACAAATTACTTTTTTATAATATTCTCACAATAGTAAGATTTGAATCAACGATGACTTTGCAGCTTTTATATCCAATTATTTCTAATTGGGGCGACTTTTGTTTGCAAAATTACATTTTAATTTGTTTATTCCTCATATAGATCTTGGTATGAACTATATATATTTATCAAACAAATTATTGAACTTGAGAAAAATTAGTTTAATTATGTAATAATTCTCTAATTCATGCAACTGATTGACCATGAAATTAATTAAAATAATAAATAATAATGAATGTAACTGTAGTATACCTCTTGAATGCCGTCGATTTTCTGCAGCCAAGCAGTGACTTGATGAGACCTTCGCATCTCTCCGGTATGTTCTTCTTCTTCAACAAGTTCTTCCACATCTTTCTTCATGTTTTCAAGCTTCTCCGATGTTTCCTCCAGAGATTGCAGATTCTCTTCCAAGTCATAAACATAACAAGCTTGGTTCTTGAGGCAGCCACACAAGCACTTGGTCACATCCCATATTATGGAAGATGGATCCATGATATTATGTTAATGGATCTGATCGGAACTTGAGCAAAAGACTGAAACTCACTTCTTCTTCTTCCTTCTCTACAAATATGATTCCAGAAATTTTGAGACCTGGAAAGCTTGCGACAGTCTTAGAGAGAAGCGTTCCAGATCTATACTTGAAGCTCATTCCTTTGCACGATCGTTCAACGGTATAAGACATGTGGAAGAAAAAAAAATATGTGGGGGCAAGAAGGTATTTTCGTCATATAATGGAAATTGAAGTGCCACTTTTCTATCGTCGAGGTATCGACTTGTCTTTTCTTCTGGAACCGAGTAGTCATTGAAAATTATTAGGATGTATATTCTGATCAATAATTCAATGAGATAATTATTTTTTAATCTTCCCTTTTGTCGCTATTATTATTTTTAAATTTTTCCAATGCATATAGCACATGCTCTCTCATTACCCTATTTATGTCCTTTATAGTTTATTCTCTCTCCATGATTAATTGGATCATGTTTAGTTTATAAGACAGACTAAGATTTCACGATAAATAAGGTTTTATTCTAGCTCTCATATGGTTGTAGTGGTGGTGGTGTTATTAATCTCTCTAATAATTGAAGGGTCATATGGCTATTTATATATGCACAAAGTTTTAAGTTTGAATTTATGTAAATGTAAAAAATATTATCAATAGAATTATCCTCAATCGAGTTTGATAATGCTTATCTATAAGAAGAATGTGTAAATGGAAAAAATGGAAAAAACAAAGAAAGAAAATAAAGAGATGAAGATGGATGCATTAAATTTTCCATTAATTTACTCTCTATGTTTTTTTTTTTTTGTGGTAATCACTCTCTAGTCTTTATTATAAGAGTGATTTCTAGCCAATTCACCATAACATATATATATATATATATATATATATATTTTGAATTTTACCTTTATATAGAGAAACACTACATCTTTCTTTAAGTTAAACCTTCTAGCAAATTATAATTGGGTGACGTTAAAAAATTAATTAATAAATCAGTGTATAAGATTATCAATTAGAAAAACATAATCATTGGTCTCTATAGTTTATTGGGTTTTGTTTTTAGTTCCTGTATTTTTTTAATATTTTAAATCCCTATAATTTGGCTTTTATTCTTGAAGTCTCTATGTTTCATTTTTTTAATATAGGGACTGAAAATATTAAAAAAATTATAAAAATTAAAAAATAAAATTCAATAAAATTATAAAGATGATTGTATTTTCCTACATGTATAAAAGACGCCACGGGTATTATGTTTTTATTCCTCACAATACATGAAGCACACCAAAATTGACCCCCAAAACATGAAATGACCGACAAGAAAATCCACCAAATCATACATAATATTTTTTATAAATAATAAAAAATCATTATCATTTTTAACTATTGATGATAATAATTTAGAAATATTATTAATAACTTGCAAATATTAGTAATATATTATTATAAAGACTAAGTGAAAATGTGAACATAGTATTATTATAAAAAAATTATAAACACAATATTAAAAATCAAATCAGTCATTAAAAATGACTAAGAAACTCGTAAAAAAGTTAATAGCTTGACTCTGAAGAAATTGATGCACGCAAAAATGTAACATGACAAGTGTAGGAGCAAAAAAAAGGTAAAAGAGTAAATTGTCACTTAAATTATAAGTTCAAGAACGTCTAATACTCTAAACTTATTTTTGGTGTTATATTTTCCTTTAAATTTTAAATATGATATAATTTCACCTCTATTGTTAATAAAAGTTAATTTTGATTATTAGCTGACTAAAAAATCACATAAAAGGCCCTTAAAATTATAGAAAATGACCAAAATACTATAGTAAAGGACTCAGAAATTACAAACAATGAGCTAAAAAATTACCAAAAAACTTGGTCTTCTTTTTTTAAAAAAAACTTTTCAAGTCCCTTTCTAATCAACTAATTAATTATCAAAGTTAACTTTTGCTAACATTAGGAGCTATATTACATCGTTTAAATTTGTTGAGGCCAAAAAATTTTTATCACTAAAAGTTTATTTTTGATGATGACAAATGTCATCGTGAAAATTTTTTGCCATCAAAATTTTATTTTATTTTTTTGCAAAAAATAAAGAGTCATCCGAAGCCACGTCACTCATCATGTGTGTGCCTTTTCATATCACGTCACCAATATCTTAACTCCATGTCACCTCACCACATGTGCAACTCCTCGTACCACGTGTATTTGCCCCTCTTAAGCGTTAAGTTTTCTTCTTTTGTCAATTAAATTGAAATGTACCTATAATTATTATATGTAAAATAAAAAATGCTATTTAATTATATATACATATTTCAAATAATGTATTATTAAAAAGAGATATATATATTTTTTATTTTATTTTTAATTAATACTATAATAAAATAATTTATATGATTATATATATTATTTAACAAAATATTATTTTTAACAAATAATATTATTTATATCTCGCGATGTCTGTATAACTTTGACATTCCAACATTTTTTGGAGAGAAGCCTTCCAGATCTATACTAGAGGCTCATTCCTTTGCAAAATCGTACGAGGCAAGTGAAAGAAATAAAATATGTAGGGGCAAGATGGTATTTTCGTCATATGGTAGAAATTGGGAATGCTACTTTTCCAATTGTCAGGGTGGACTTAGTCTTTTCATCCAGCACCGAGTAGCCTTTAAAAATTACTACGATGTATATATGCTCTGATTAATAATTCAATGAGATAATTATTTTTTAATCTTCCCTTTCGTCACAATTTTTTTTTTAAATTTTTCCAATGAATATAGCACAAGCTCTCTCATTACGCTATTTCCAATGCATATAGCACAGGCTCTCTCATTACCCTATTTATGTTCTTTATAGTTTGTCCTCTCTCCACGCTTAATTGGATCATGTTTGGTTTATAAGAAAGACATAGACTTCACGATAAACAAGATTTTATTCTAGCTCTCATATGGTGGTGGTGGTGTTTTTAATCTCTCTAGTTGAAGGGTGATACAGCTGCTTACGCACGAAGTTTGGAGCAGGTTTGAATACATGTAAATGGAAAAGATATTGTTAATAGAATTATCCTTATCTAGGAGAAAAATATATACTCCCTTTAAACCATAATATAAGTCATAATTAATTAATTTATGACTTGCAAATAATGTTAATTAAAACTTTAAATTTTTAAAAAAGTTCACATATTTTCATTTATATCCTCATTAAATATCATATATATGAGTTTTGATAATAGTAATTAAAATTCTAATGCATAATTTTTTTTAAAAAATGATAATAAATGAAGTAGAAGTATAGTTAGAAAATTAAATGTAAAAGTTATCTAATACCTTATATTTTAAATCAAATAAGGTTTTTTAAAAATGTCTTATATTGTGGTGCAAAGGGAGTAAATGAAAAAAAAAAAAGGAAACAAAAAAAAAAACAAAAGAAAGAAAATAGAGAGATGAAGATGGATTGTGGATATATTAACTTTGCCATTAATTCACTCCCTCTAGTAGTGATCTCTAACCACTTCACTATAACTAATAAAATATTTTTTTAATTTTACCTTTATGTAGAGAAACACCACATCACACTTTAAGTTAAACCTTTTAGCAAATTGTAATTGGGTAACTTTTGAAAAAAATGATTAATAGCCCGCCAAAGTAACTATATATAAGATTATTAATTTCTTCTGAAAAAATCACCACTACAAGAAAAAAGGTTACATATGACAGTTATTTTTGGCTACATATAGCAATTATTAACTGTTATATATTCTAGCACTATATATTTTTTGTGTTAATATACAATAATTTTTAACCGTTATATTGTGTTTATTTTCAAATAACTGTTTTATATGAGCATTTTTTTTTCTATATAGTTGTGAACTATATAAACAATATAATTGCTAACTATATAGGAGTTATTTTTAAATAACTGCTATATATGAGCATTTTTTTTAAAAAAAATGAAGCTCCTCTATTATATTTTATTTTTTTCTCTTAAATTCTTGAGCGAGTAAAGTGAAAAAATAGAAGAAAAAAAAAACAAAAAAATTAGAGTAGTAGAGACAATATCCATATCAGAAATTAACAACAATTGATGATAATGTTTTCTACTTAACAATTTGAATGCAAAATAAAAAACAAAAACTAGAGATGTGGAAAATTGAAGAAGTATCCTCATGAAAAAGACAAACTCAAACTAGTACCATAAAGATATGAAAAACCACATATCTAAATTTAAAAACTATAAATTATGATTGCAAATATGAAATACTAGCCTTCCATTTAATAATGTAACCAGGGATGAAAATGAGATAGAGTTGAGGGAGAGTGGCATTGATGATATTAGGTACCACACAAACCAGACAATGGTGCATGATGCCATGCATACACATAAAATGGAGGAGAAGGGACATATGTCATGTTGGAGACCATTGCCGGAGTTGATCACATGATTGCTGAAGATTAAGACTCAAAGTCTAGAGTGAGAAGGATGCTTAAGTAACAGAGAGGGTTGAGTATGAAGTGAAGGAGTAAAGTTGCATATGAGAGAGAGAGAAAGCGAGCGAGGGAGGGAGGGAGAGGGTTGAGTGTCATGAAAGTAAAATGTAGGGATGGATTTAAATGTAGGAAATGATAATGAGAGATACAAAGAGTATGTACGTCATTTGGATCAGAAAAAAAAATTAATGTTTAAGAAATAATGACATCATCAATCTATGTGTTACATAAAATGTGTGTGTTTTAAAAGTTTTTGGAGTCAAAACTATATAGTCAATGACTATATAACGATTATTTAAAAAGAATTGCTATATAGTCTCAAGAAAAAAATTAAAAAAGAAAAGATTTTATATAATGGTTCTTTGAAATAACCGTTGTATAATTTCTAGACTATATAATAATTATTTTTTAAAAAATACTATATAATCTCTAGAAAAAAATTAAAAATAAAATGATAAAATAACCACTATGTAATTTCTAGAGTATATATCGGTTATTTAGAAATAATTGGTATATAATCTCTAGAATTTTTTTTAAAAAAAGATAGACTATAAAATGATTCTTTGCAATAATTGCTATATAGTTTCAAGATTATATAACAGTTATTTTGAGTAATCGGTATATAGCCTCTTTTTTTGAATCCTGTGTGCCTCAATTATATAACAGTTTT